CTTGTAAATTCTAATTCGATCAAAACATGTATTGACAATGGCTATTCTCCATCATGCATGTTCTCCAGTTGACTGGCTGAGTGGACGGACGCAAGACATTGCAACGACATCTTGTCGTCAAGACTGCGGTCATGCAAGGCAAGGACTCGACAGCGGCACATTCTAAGTGGTCCTTTTGTGCGACCGTCAACGTAACGTGTACACCAGCGTTAAGCATCTCCGGACGCCGTGAGACGTGAAAGTTCTTGAACTTAACCTTCAGAACGCTCAATTGGATTGTAGAACCCTCAATTGGATTGTACATCGGCGATTAAGGGCCAAGGCGTAGCAAGTCGCAGTCGTCGTACCCAGGCATGCGGGTCTCCATTTGGCTGTGGGCAGGCGCGTTGTCCGGGACAATGACCGCGAGATTACCGCGGAATTCGGCTTGGAACAATGGCATCGACTTGACGGCAAGGTAGATGTCTTCCACAAATTCTGCGTTCTGTTCGATTTGAATGCTTCCCCGTTGCATGCGGTGTAGGATGAGACCGCCGGATGTCGACACTGAACTGAAGATTCACTCCCTTTGACGGTGGAAGCACGGCGACAGCACGTTGGACCCCCTTGGCGACGCCTTTTGTACGCTTGCTGAACTGATTGTAGTTTGTTTCATTGTAATTCACGATTTAGTTACCATGCGTCATTTGCATGATCAACGTGTCAGCGAACGCTTTTCACTTAGTTATGTTGATGTCGTTGTTGCACGTCGAAGGTTGGACGCGGACTTGTTTTGCTGTGTACAGCTTCCCACAGAGAGTTCGACTGACCGTTGAGGTTCTGAGGTTGCGATGCTGATGCCAAGTTCCACAAAAAGTCTGTTCTGCAAATAGCTTAGAGTATATGAAAAATATCAACTAAAATTAATAATTGGCAGCGATCGTTGATGTACTCTTCCAGACGTAAGGAAATCTTTGGGGTCATCGTGGTCAGCGACGCGCGCGCTCCACCTCGGCTGAGTCGACTGACACGGTTGTTGTGAATGATACGTCGAGCTGTCGTCAAGGGGACTCCATCATAAGAGGCCACTGCTTTCCAATCTTTTCGGTCATGGAATGCTGCCAAGACATGAGTTTTCTCCGCTTCTGTTGGCATCTTTTCATTGTGTGTGGATTCTCGTGTCGCATGAGTGTAGGCGCCCGCCAAAAACAAAACATTTGTCAATACTTGTTTCGATCAAATTAAAATTTACCGGTTGGCCACATTGATGCCAGATACAATCACGTTAAATGACATTGATTCCAGATAGGTACGTACTACTTCAAAGAAATTATACCGTCGGAACCACATTAATTGCTGGTTTGGCCACTTTGAACGCCCTGTGATGCGACTCTATCATTTTGTATCCAGTGGTTTCGATATCGGGTGTGGCGATATTTCGTCAAAGAGGCACAGCAACAACACCCTTTGTCCAAAAAATTATGCTCACACAAATTCCATTCAAAATTTGTATCACCACTAGCGTAAAAATCACCTTCCGAGTAGTCGAAGTAGACATTTTCAACACACACTCGTAAACCTTTGATGATAAAAGTGTAGCTGGTCGGGGAAAATGGCGGGAAATGACACTCGGTGCACATGTTCGCAAACCGTCCTCGCTACTCCATGACGTACCGACATCATTGCGTTGCTGCCACTCCCAGGGTCACGTCTGGGCGCCGGGATATCGACCGAGAGTGAAAAGTGTGGTGTTTTCGCAAGACTTTTGTCTATATATGGAGCATACATGCTCTCAGGCGCTTTGGCGGGCGATATGTCGTCTGTACGTCGAATTCCCGTCGTAACAACATCATCGCCGTGAATTGTTACGACGCTTTACGGTGTGTCAAAGATCGAGTGTTCCTGCACCAAGGGCAGCGCCGTGTGCAGTCGACGCCAACTAGGATCACTCGGCGCAATCGGCGGCGGCGTCGTCTCTTTTTTCGATACCATGTACGTTCTCCACACTTTCACGTCCAACACGAACGTCGCATGGACCCAATCGACGGACACGAGGCCATTCATCGCTGCGGACGCTCGGTCCAAGTGGTAAATGCCTCCAAATTCCCACGGACGTCGGCGAAAATGGTATTTTGCTGACAGGTGCAGCAAGAGCGACGTCGACGTCGGTTGCAACGTCGGGTTGGACTGCCGCACGAAGCCGTAGCACACAACGCACGCCGCAACGATCAAGCTCAAGAGACCTCCAAACCGATCGAACCGACCAATGTGGACCGACCCGCTTGTACACGTGAGCTGAAAATCCACGTGCACCCACTGGCATTGCCGCCGGAGGTCCACGAAAGGCTCGACACCCACGACGGCGCTCCACACCAATGCCACGAGCCCCGCGACGATCGTGCTCGACATGGCCGACTTGCCCGTGAATTGCTGCGTATATGCCGACGCCACGTCATTCACAACGTACACGAGCCACGTCATTTCCCCGGACGAGAGCACGGTCGCGACCCAGTCCGGTTTCTTGGACTGGAAAAACGTGACCAAACCCGAGTGCGGCCGCGTGAGCTCGAGCGATGCCGTCGACAGGACGCACAGCGCGGTGATGCCTCGGATAAACAACAACGGGCGGCCGATCCAGACGAGCCCACACACACGATTGAACGAGAGCATGTTGATGCCTTCAACGCGACCGCGGTTTGCGACAATGTACAAACTCACAACGACCGCGACCGCGCACAGCACCAACGACGTGTACTGAACCATCGCGCGGAGGTAGTTAGCGACGTTGAGCGGGATATCCATGGCGCTCGTGGGGGACATCGCCAGGTCATCCGACGTTGACATGGCGCAAATTCGACCCGCGTCGCCGTGGAATAACGTAACTTCTCGCTTCCCGTCGACCCACTCCCACAACAACAGCCACGAAAAGAACTCCATGTCGCGGCTGTGGAAAAAGTTTTCCCGCGCCAACGTCATGCCGGCGGCGGAAGCACCCGGCAAGCTCACAAACTGGACATAGTCCACTTGCAATTCGTCGCGAACGACGGCCTTGGCGTCGCTCCCGAGCGACGACATGGTTTGCATGTCGTCCAACGAAACATGCTTGGCCAAAAACGCAATCGCGTCCGTGAGCTGGGTGACGCAGCTCTCGCGCTCCGACAGCTCGCGCTCGCACGTCGATTCGACCCACCCTCGTGCTATTTCGTGAGCACCCACGGCCAAGAGCGACTTGACGGCCTGCACAGTCGAGCCCAACGTGGATTCTGCGCCAAACATGCTGCACCCGCCCTTGTACGTGAAAAACTCACACGGCTGCTTGGATGCCGCGCTATTGATGTCGCAGAGGAGCGACCCGCCATACGCTCCTTCGCTCCATGCTTGCGGCATCGGCGAGTAGTTGAATGTGTGATAAATGCCCCAAAAATCGTCTTGGGCAGTGGCCGACGCACTCAACGTTCTCGCTAGCATCTCGGTGCCGACCTGATGCGCGGCGCGCAGAGACTCGGGGCATGGGATGCGCTTGGCGTCGATTGTTCCAAACGGCCCCAGCGCGGCGCGCACGAGCGACCGCGACCGCGTCAGCGGCGCATCGACCGTCCCGTTGTCCAACAAAATGTCTTCGAGAGACACATTGTACCACGCATAGTCGCGACTGGTGCGGACGAGGCTGCGGCCGCCCATGCGCGTCGAGTTGGCTGCCACGGCCCATAAATCACTGGCAAACGACCAGTACAGCTGAAACGACGTTTGGCTCGCGAATTGCAACGTCCCGTTGGACTTTTTCAGCGCCATCGCGTACGACACACCAAACGCATTTTGAATCGAAAACGACTCGTCGATGCCCAGCCGCTTGAAGTTTTGCCACTGCGTCGAGAATGCCACAATGCCAAGCCGCGACCAGACGTCGACTTCCTCGGCGACAGTCAGAGCGTTCGCTCGGACCCCCGTCAGCCACTGCTGGCCGTCGGACGTGAGCTGCACGTCCGCGAACACAGCGACGTTCAACGAATGCCCCCAGCACGCCATCAAGCCGTCCCAGTCGGCATTTCGCAGCACGGCCTCCAAAAACACTGCGCCGTTGTCTGTCATGTTGGCACAGCGCAGTTGTCGCGCCGCCGAGTGCGCCAGCTCCCACCGCTTGCCAAAGTCGACGTAACAGTACGGCGTAAACACCCATGGCAGCATGCATCCGGGTGTCCGGCGAAGGCCGGCGACGACGTTTTCCAGCGTCGACAGCCCGCGATGCGGTGCGCTCGAGTACATGGGCGACGCCACGATCCTGGTTTGCGTGGCGTTGTTGGGCGCGGCGATCGCGGCAAACTTGGGGTCGGGCAAGTGGATGCGGGTCGGGACGTAGTCGGTGACTTGCAAGTACTGATTGAACCAATTCGCCAAGTACGCGTGCGTTCCGGGAGTGTCAAAGCCAACCCACCACAAATCATTTGCCATCGTTGACTTGGTCACGTCCAAGAACGAATAGCTCGACACGACCGACGCCATCATGTACGCGAGTCCCAACGCGGGCGACGCCATCGACCGCCATCGTCGATGCGCAGCACGGCCAGCCGAGGATGAAGAAGAAGGTGGTGGTGCCGCCGTCGGCCATCGAAATGGACACGTGCTGTGGAATGCTGTCGAGTGGGCGATCGGCATCCACAATTTCACGTCAAAAAACGCCGTGGTCGTCGGGAGAATGCCAGACAGGATGCACCCGACCACGTCCGCTGCATCGACGGACCCGTGCAAGAACGCTGCCGACGCGCCAGGGACGAGCACGTGCTTGTCGTTGATTGCGTCGCCCTGGCGCACGCGATGATGCACCTTTCCCCCGACGTACGCCACACACGTCGCGCCGATCGTGCTCCCGACTTGGACCAAAACCAGTTCAAGCACGCGATGAACACTCCCCACTTGGATTTCGCCACTAGCGCAAGACACTCCGTGTCGAAATGACTGGATGTGGCACGAAGCACGGCCGAGGGTCGCGCGGACCTGCCACGGATCGGCCACTTCCAACAGGACCGACGCCGTCCAAGCCGCGAGCGCGCTCAAGGGAGCTACGACGCGCGCCACGTCCGAGTGCATGGTCGGCAAGAAGATATCACTCAAGACGTACGATAACCACGTGGCTTCGCCCGCTACGACCGCGACGTGGCCCACCGATCGTGGCGCAGACATGAGTTGGGTGTACCCGTGCGATTTCACGAGGTCGATCGGCGCCGTGGCGAGCACCATGACTGCAGTCATGCCTCGGATGCACAGCATGGGGCGACCGACCCACACGCTGCCCACGACCCGATTGAAGAAGATCCAATGGCTCAAGTGGCCCGGCGACCGCGCCGTCGAGCACAGCGAAGCAAGGCCAGCCATCGACGCGACGATGGCGACGCCCACCAGCACCATCGACACGTAAATGCTGATGTAATGCACGTATTTGCACGCAGAGTGGGGCAGCTGGGCCGGGTTGGCCACCATCGACTGGAACGGGAGAGGCGCTGACATGAGCTTGAACCTGCCGACGTCGCCTTGAAAGTCAAACACTTCACGTCGGCCATCCAGCCATTCGTACAGCGTGATCCAGCCAAAGAACGGCCACAACGACGACGCGTCGGGCTCGCTGCCGCCGTCTCCAGCGACGAGCTGGACGAGGAGCTCCGGCACACGTGCCACCGTGTCATTCCGGGCAGTGGCGAACTGGAGCGTACTGATCTGGAGCTCCATCGTGTCTACCACGGCGGTGTCCTTCATCGCGATGGTTTGGCTTGTCCAGTGCGGCGTCAACAGGTCGTGCGTTCGACTTGCTAATGCCAGCGCATGTTCGCACAGCGGAGCCGTGGTCGCTGCCAGCGCACAGAGTCGCGCACCGCGCTGCGGGTCGTCCTGCAGCCGTGACGAAGACGCGGCGGTTGTCGCCAGCGCAAACAAAACGGCCATGCGCTCGAGCGCGACCCCATCGGCGATTTGTTTGCTACAGTCGTCGCTGAAACCAAACGATGGCTGGACGAATGGCTGCCGCGTGCCTTTCGGGCACATCGGGTTGCCTCCGTAGAACCAGTACTCACGACGGCTCCACGGCGCAGCGTCAACGACAGCTCGATCCACTTGCGCGCTGAACGCGGTGGCGACGCGGTCGTCTTGCCCGAGCGCTGCAAACAAATCGCGCCGAAACGCGTCGAAATACGCGGCCAGCGACGGTGGAATCGCCACGAGCTCCATGTCCACCGATGAATACGGCCCCATGTGCGCATGCATGAGGACGACACCGATGCCGCTGCCGCCACTCTCCGTCCCATCGGGCAGCGGCCCATTCGACTCGACATCCCAATCGATCGCCATGGCGTCGATGCTGTTGGGCGTCCCGCGAACGAGGCTGCACTTGAGCGATTCGCACGTGCCCAGGTCGTTCCAAAATCCCGGGTTGGCCAGGCTCGTCGTCCATCCCGCAATCGTGTGGCTGTACGTGGCTTCGTGGTATATCTGAAATGGCTGGCGCATCCCGAGCGCATTCACAACGTCGATGCTCTCGTCAAAGCCAGCGACAACGAGGTTTTGCAGCTGCAGCGACCAGCGCGTAAACCCGGCCGCTCGCCACGCCGCGGCTTCGGCCTCCACCGTCGCCTCGACGAAGCCCCCCACGGACGCATTTCTCGCCCACACGATCGAGTCGACCCATTCTTGGCCGGCAGTCGACAGCCCCGCGATGCCATGCAGCACTGTGTGGTCGAGCATCGCGGCGTATTCCGATGCAAGCAGCACCCGCACGTCAATGTTTCGCAGCACGGACGCGAGCACGAGCGCAGCATTCGTCCATTTGTCCGACGCGGCGCATCGGCGCTGGCGTCCCGCCGTGTGCGCCATCTCAAACCGGCGGCCAAGATCGGCCCAGCAATATTGCGTTGGCACGCGTAGGTTCTCGGCGACGCCGTTGCGACGAATCGTGTCGATCGCTGCTGAAAACGCGATCGGGCTCATGAGGTACTGGCGCGCCGTCGACCGCCGCACGTCCACAAACGTCGTCGCCATGTCGTACGCCTTGGTCGACGTCAGCGACAGCAGATCGACGGGCCCCGTGGCGTGGCCCACGTGCAGCTGCGCGTTGAAAACGTCGGCGACGAACGTTTGAGTGCCAGACACGTTGAAGCGCCGCCACCAATGATCGTTGGACGCATGCGGGGCCAGGAGCACGAGGTACCCGACGTTGCATGCCATTGACAGCACCACGTACACGAGCCCGACGGCGACAGATACACGGTTCGAGAGGCCACCGAGTCGTTTGTCGTTGCGCGGGGAGGACGGCGGCGGCGGCGCGCCGTCGTCGTCGGTGGCAGCCGCCACATACACCTTGCCCCGACGCCACCCCATCATCGCCTTGTGGACGGTGGTTTCGGCCGTAAATAGAACGTGTCCATGCGAAACAACGTCATCGACCGACCCGTCGCTCGCAGCACGTCATACAAACAAACCCGGCGATCCCATGCTCGTCTGACGCATCGTGGCCACGATCGCCGACGACGCCTTTGATCGTGTGGATGGCCCGCAGCCGACCCTCTCGGCGACACTACGTGTGCCAACACTCGTCCGAACCAAACCTCTATTTCATCGGCAAGTGGTTGTCTAAACTGACCTGGCTCCACTCGACGCCAACGTCGTCTGGCGTCAGCGTGACCGAGTTTTCAAATTGCTTGCCAAACTCGTACGTGGTGTAGATCTGCCGCGCGTACACGGTCTCACAAAACGTCGAGTCGAAGCCAGAAAAGAGCGCGAGCAACGACGTCGCGTTCAGCTCGTCGTCGTTGTGCCGTCGAAGCGGCGACGACTCGTCAATTACGTGGACGAGGGTCGCCGGCATGTTGATGCTTGGCCACGTCGGCTGGACCAGCGGCAGGTCGTACATGCGTCGGGCGCCGCTGCGGTCGGTGGAAAACGCGCCCAGCCTACGACATAAAACACAAAATCACGTGCCATCTCGTCCCCCGTCGGTCGTCCGTCGAGACTGTACTTGAACTGGCACAGCTGAATGTCACCGACGTTGCGGGTGTTGACCGCGCGAAACACGAGGCATCGCTGCGACTGATACATGGACACGGCCATCGCTGGCGAAAACTGAATGTGCGCCTGGGGCAAGGCAAACTTGGACCAGAAAATACCTGCGACGACCGGTGAGATGCAGCACGCAGCGCGCCGTACCCGTCAGGATGGTGGCGACCGTGAGCCCACACATTGCTTCGACCGCCACGAGCGCGTTGTGGTAATTGTCGCCGGGTGCCGGCGCAATCGTGCCGTATCCGATCGTTGAAAACGTGTGGACGCTCAGGTACATGCACAGTTCAAACGGCGAGTTCCGCGGCGGCAGCATGTCCGCCATCAGGAAGAGCCCGCCGGGGAAGTGCACCCAATGCAGCACGGCAAAAAACACAGTGACAGTCGCTGTCAGGATGAAAATGCCGGCCACGATCGACACCCACTTTGCGTGGAGGATGTGGTAGTACAAATACTGGAATCGATGCGGCACGTTCTTGGGCCGCACGCGGTGCAGCATGCTGATCGTGTCGTCGATGTGGACGTAGCTCCCGCCGTCGCTCATCGTGGCCTGTCGGTGCAGGGCCCTGCAACATGCAGCAGCAGCCACGGATGAACCAAGCAGCCACATGCGTGCGTGCGATTTCAAGTCCTACCTCCCCGACGAATCCTTGAACAGAATGCCCGTCATCCCGGGCTCCACGAAGGGCTGGTCCGACGCGGTTGCCGCCGCCGCCAATTCCGCTTCAGGCTGGTCCCATGACACACCGTCGTGGTGCTGCGGCGACGAAGCGTCGACAAACTCTGGGCTCGACGACGACGTCGGGGTGCGACCGGGCGCCGCTGCGGCCATGTGCGGCGCGATCGAGCACGTCTCGACCGACACCACGCAGCTCAGTTTTTCAAAGTCCATCACGACGTGGTTGGTCGCAAGGTCGTGGGAAAGCATCGAGTCAAATTTGGCGCCGACAGCGACGCGGTCGCTCGTGTAGCTCATTTGGTTGACAATCGTGGCGTGACGATTCGAATCGATGCCGGTGACGGTCACGTGCAGCATGCAGTTGGCGGTGAAAGGCATGCCGTGCAGCGGACTCGACTCGTCGATCACGTGGACGAGTTCGAGGGCGAGGCGGAAGAAGATGAAGTCGGACTGCTTGAGCGCGAGCTTGTGTCGTCGCAAAACGGTCTACCCGCGGTGTCATGAGCCCATCCGCAACGAGTGAGAGCATGGTAGTACCTCGTGCACCGAGAACAGTTCCATTGTGAACACCGCATCCATAATCACGTCAAGGTTCAGATTCGGGGACGAGCTCGCGTTCGCGACCCGCACGACCAGTGCCGAGTGTTGACCTTGGTAGTTGGGTTGGATGCAGCACTTGTTGCTGAATGCGACTTGCACTTTGGGCAACGAAAACTTGGTGAAGATGATTCCTGCGAACGTCGGGAGGAGCACCATCGACACGTACGACTCGAGGATGGTCACGTAGTTGCCGCAGCGGTCGCGCGAGTACACCACCCCAAACCCGATCGTCGAAAACGCTTGGTAGCTCAGGTTGTACCCGTCAAAGAGATTGTCGCACTCCTGGCAGATGAAGAAGAAAAGGAGTCCAAAGAGGAAGATCACGCCAAAATACGACGTCGCCAGCGCCAGGGCGAGACGAGGCCAGGACAAGTCGATGAGAAAGTACGCCAGATCTTTGTACAACGCGCGCGGTCGCGTGCCGCGACCGGTGCTGCGCAAAGGGCGGTTGAAGAACATCCGCTTGGACGACGATGGCGCAGACGACGAGCCTGGAAAGATCGCGCGCGCGGCAGGCGCGACTGTGATGCCGTGCCATACGTTGCGCCACTCGCCGTCGTCGTTCATGCTGCGCGTGAAATGTGTATATGCCGCGGCGGCTTTACATACTTGGTTTTTGTATCGGGAGAAACCAGCTGGAAACAACTATCATGCGTTTAATATTACAGACAGATTTAAAATCACAACGTGGACAGGAACTTGACATTTGTAGTCCTACCACCACTTTAATAAAAAAAGTCGAGGGTAATAATATACGAGGCGAAAAGATCGGCGAGTCGCCGGCGGTGCCAGCACGCGCTCGGCCACATCCATCGACGAGCTTGTCCAAAGTCGACCAAGTGGATCGTCGTCGTCCAGGACGATCCATGCAGCCACAACGTCGCCGTTGACGTTCATCAGTGGCACGTACACGATCTTAGCCCTTCGTCCTGACGATACGAGGCATCCCCCACCGCATCTGGATGGTGGGCATACACCACAACACACATTTCAATGGTCGGCATCATGCACGGTCGTTCGTAAAGGCCGAGGACAGCGCCGAAGGAGTGATGGGGGGACATTATCACGTCGGAATGTTCGACAGACTGTTCATAACCACTCGACAGCACCCATTCCTGCTGTGCTGTACGAGTTGTACTTGAAAACCAGACGGACGCAGATTTGTTGTCACTTGGGCCGACGACCTTCACTGGAGCGGGACGCAGGCGGAAGGCGCCGCCTGCGTCCCGTGCCAGCGACTACTCTCGCGACGGAGGAAGGCGTCGCGAGAGTAGTCGCTGGCATGCCCATCCGACGACCATCGCACTACTTTGAGAAACAACTGCACATTCCATCAAAGTTCCAGAGGTTGCGGCCGCTTCCGGCAAGGGAATCGGAGATGTTGCGCGAGCATGGACACGCTGTGCGGTCGTTGGATGGGAATTAGGCGGTGGCGACTTGGTGCTTCGACCTGGCGTAGATCATGGTTGCATGTGGCGCATATCCACGGTGACCACGACGTCGAATGTGCCGGGGATGCATCCTCCTGGAGTTGTGCGCACGTTGACCCAGCTCACGTCGAAATCGGGCGACAGCCCGCCAGCATGAGTCGCAGAAGCGACTCATGCTGACGTGGATGCTGGCGCAGTACGGTGGCAAGAACAGGGTGGGCGCACCTGGCGTCGATGGGGAATCCCGTCGAACTGCGCGACCAACCTGCATCGGGTATGGACAGCTTTCCGTAAAAAATTTTTAGATAACAGTACAGACAACGAGGGAATTTAAGGGACACTTTGAG